CTACAACCATCAGCACTTTATATATTCATCTATTTAACAGGGACAGTGCATATAAACTTAACAGATTAAAATTGGCTACTGATGATCTGCAACAATTGTATAGAGCTATAGATAATTTGCAACTTCATTAATTGGTTGGGCAATTCTATAAAATAGGCTTACATAAATTCATATAGCAAACAGTATAAAAATGCATACATTTATTTGCCTAAATGATCATACATACATCCTCAGACCCTCGCATAACCACATAGATGCACTGAGCTGCATTTATGTTCTAAGCAATGTAATACTAATTTACTTTTTCATACAGTCCCACATTTACTTTTTCATTCATTGAAGCATATTGCAAATGATCACATTTATGGTTTTCTTTTAGCCAAGATGAAGTCATATGGATGAACATTTTGAAATAAGTTATGACATTTAAGTCTGGGGGCAATAAATTCCACAATATTGTATTTTTATGAGAATGCATTCTGATCAAACAAAGTGCTACATAACAGAGGATGGCAGTATCAGACCTCTCCTATTTAAATAATAAATTATAGAAGTATATTTTCTAGGTGAAAAAAGTTCTAATACAGCTTTACTGCGAACCTATGTTGACATAAATCTATTTTCCAGATATTGTGTTGATATGAAAAGACTGACTTTGCTTTAGTTCCTGACAGTGTTTCAGACATGGCCATCTCTGATGAACTGCACTATCTTGAGGTTTATTTGACCGATGAGTTTGCCAAGGGACGCAAGGTGGCAGATCTTTATGAGCTGGTCCAGTATGCTGGGAACATCATACCCAGGCTGTGAGTAATAATCTGAAAACGTATGTTTGTTTTTACTCTGTGTTTTTGCAGTGCTTTTGGGTCAATCACAAATGATGCATTAAGCAAACCTTTTTTTTTTTTGTTAAATACCTTTATTAGAGCTAATCAAACTAAATAAATTACAATATAAAATACTTCTTATACATCTAAAGCTATACATATAATATAATAATACTATAATATAATACTGACAAAATAATACATTAAAAAAGCAACAATGCACCAGTCTCAGCCCTTTTTTGTTTTTTCAACTAAAGGAATAAAAAAATAATAAATAAAAATGGAGAACAAGCCCAAGCACCCTTCCCATTTCAGCTCCCCAAGTCATCCCCCTTGACCCCCCAAAAAACTCAGATATGTATACTCATATTTATAAGCAAAGCAAAAGAATGACAAGTACCATCAGTTAGTATTTACTATTTACAAGTCTGTAAAATAGGAAAGAAAACATTGCCATTTTTTGTAAGACTTTTCTGTAGATCCTTGTAAAGTATAGAAGAGGACGTGCTGGTCTCGGCATCCTGGCGGCGTTCAGTTTGAGATCGTCTCAAACAATATGAAATGAGGAAAAAAGCTATTTATTAACTGCTTAAGTTGTGTTTTAGACTGTTCTTGAAAAACTAATCGGTCACGGCTGATTTTTCATTTTTTTACCGCAGACAGCCGCTCCTCTCTCTTGCAGGTACTGTGTACCCCCGCTAAAACCTTTAGTGGTACACAGTACCCGACTGTACCCCCTTACTTTCACCCCTGAGCATCGACATCGATTTACATAAATGTGAAAAGGTTAACGGTTAATAATAGGTACTAATTGAGTACATAGAAAGCTACATTTTTAACAGTTTATTAATATGTAGTTTCTCAATATACTCTGTAACAACTGGTCCTTTCAGGACCGTTTGTGATCTTGGTCTGGTCCGAAATTAAAAAATGACTTTGAACCCCCTCTGCACTTCGACAAAATAAAATAACCCAACTTTCATCTCATGTCTCTGATTTTTCATAGGTAGTGTCAGCCTGTTTTCCCTTTTATAGTATGCAAAGTCTTTGCTGAATTTTGAGATGTCATTTAAGCCTCCCACAATTTCTAAATCCAACATGTTTTATGGCAACCAGAGGTTAAAGCTCAATTAATTGAGCAGTGTAGTGTCTCTGTGCTACAAACAACCTTTCTGTCTAAACTAAAGTAATTTGAAGTGGCTTAATCAAATCAACACAAATAGCCATGTGGATCGTGGTGTTGTAGGCAGTTTGGATATGATCTTACCGGAGGGTTTCTCCCAAAAAAGTTGCTAAGCCCGGTGGTCGGGGCCCCAAGGCTGTCCACCAGTGTTCCACTGAGTTTTTGCATTAAAAGATGTTGAGTTGACAAGACATGTAACAATATTATATATCAATAATGATAATGTAATAATGTTACTGGAAGACATTGCAGACGATACTTGGTACTACCCATAAATATAGTACTAATTATAGTACTAAAAACAACAAATCCAAAAAAATTAAACTAAAATAAATATCAGTTATTCGCACTTCTGTTAAATACAGAAGTCAGTGGATCTAAAAACACAATCTAATCCTGATCACATTTAGAACCGGCCCATTTCATAAATGAACAAAGCAGCTGTGTAAGGCCTCCCCAAGCATGCAGGGGCCCCATAAATGCTAACATTTTAACACGGACCACATATATTGAAATACAACATTTGTTTATTGAGAATGTCAATGCTAATAAATTTGATGGTTTCAGCAAAATGATTTTAAGGAGCTGCAATTTTACTTTTTAAAAGTTCAAAGAATAATTCACAATTTGATGCTGTAAGTTTAATCTTTGAATATGAGCTCTGTTTGTTCACAATTACAATTATCAGCGATTGCTTTTAAGGTTGCCCAATTAAACTATGCCCCTCTCCTCTTATGTGGCTTTAGTAGCTCTTCCATTTCTTGTTTATTGAGTTTTTGTTAAGCACCACAGAAACTGTTTTGGTTCCTCGAACCCTATGCAAAGAGTATTTCTGATCTCTGTGCGGCTGTGCGCAGCAACTCTATCTAAATGTAAGTAGACAAAGCATTTGATATGACGCAGTTTGATTTATCATGCCGCTGTAAAAAACAAAATTAAACCATCGTGGTGTATGACTACGAGACGAGTCCGACACCTCTTCCACAGGCTGAAGCACTGACCCTCCAATGCACCATCTAAGCTGGAAGACTTACATAAACTCCTATTAGCTGCACTGCAGACACACAGTCACTCACTGAGCAGGGTGTATTAGATGTAAACATACATGCTGCACATAATTCAACAGTGGACTGTTGATAGGTCAGGTTGTAGAAAAATAATTTCAAGTTCAAACAGTTTAAAATTCAAAAACTTATATGTTACCTTCTTGTTTCCTTCCTCAGCTATCTTCTGATCACAGTGGGCGTAGTGTATGTTCGCTCCTTTCCCCAGTCTCGCAAAGACATCCTGAAAGACTTGGTAGAGATGTGTCGTGGCGTCCAACACCCACTCAGAGGTCTCTTCCTGAGAAATTATCTGCTGCAGTGTACCCGTAACATTCTTCCAGATGATGGGGAGCAAGTGGAGTAAGTCACTTATATTTTTCCTTCACTTTCTGTACTTTTTAAATCATTTTAATAAATGTTAAAGGACAATGAGAGTATGTTGTCAGTTTAAAACATGTTTTGTTTTCTTGTTCTTCAGTCTCTGAATTTGAGATGATACATTTCTGATAGGGAGTACCCATTTGCAAATAATAGGGACAATAGACAACTGAGTTAAAATGATAGTGGTTATGGCACATCCACACTTTGATTTGTCCTATACATCTACTCAGAGTTCCTTATCACCTGGTGACATTATGTAGATCTATGCATAGTCTGCATATGCATAGTGCTGCTTTTATTCTTTCATGCATGTTTGAAGAATCCTTGAATCTTCCATTGCAGCCATTTGGTTGTGCCTAAATGCTTGCTCAGGCACACCCATATCCACAGAGCCCCTTCTTGGAGCTGCAGCCTCCAGCTGAGCTTCTGCCTCACAGAGAACCTCTGCCCTGTGGGGACAGCGTCCCCACTCAGCTCCTCCAGACTTGTGGCAGCACCAATTAGTAAACACCTGGTGGAACTACTCAGTACAGTGCCATTCCTATGTTCATTGTTGTGATGACATGCGGAAGGTGGAGTGTTGGAAAGAGTAGGAGACACTTAAAGAGACAAGACGTCAAAGTCAAATTTCTTTTAGGTCCTATTTGATATATACAATACTTTAATCACAACTGAAGTTAACATTGTTACTTAATTCTGCTATAAAATGGCATTATGTGCTTGGAAAATACATAATACTTTCTCCTTAAATCCATCCATCCATTGTCATATTAGCTTATCCCCAGCAGGGTCTCCAGGGGTCCTGGTGCCTATCTCCAGGGCAACAGGCGGGGTCATCGTAGACAGGCCGTCAGTCCATCGCAGACCACTTTCAAACGATTTATTTAAACAAATTGTGGGGGCATTTTTAAGTTTAGAGCTGAACAGCCTGAAAAATTACATAGCTTTTCAGTATTCTTTCCCAAACTGCCTATTAAATAAATTATATATGTTAACTTTTCCTGTTGCAGTGTTGCTGCAAGTTAGACATCTCACTGTTGGAATATTTATCATTACCATTTTTCAGCTCTCACTCAAATTTTTTGGTTGGGTAATAGAGGAATAAAAGTGTTGAGTCATCTTTGTTTTGTTTCTCAGGGGCTCAGAGGAGATGACTGGAGATATTAATGACTCCATAGACTTTGTCCTTCTGAACTTTGCTGAAATGAACAAACTGTGGGTTCGAATGCAACATCAAGGTCACAGCAGAGACCGAGAGAAGAGAGAAAAAGAACGACAGGAACTTAGGATTCTGGTGGGCACCAATCTAGTTCGCCTCAGTCAACTAGAGGGTGTAAATGTGGACAAGTACAAACAGGTCAGTGTGTCTCTTTCTCCCAGAATATCCAAGCTTTATCATTTAAAGCTTTAGAGCGCAGGACGAGAACATTGAATTTCTGGTGTTAAGCTGGTCTGTTTTCTGTCATTTTAATTTTCATGTGCATAATTTTTGAGTTTGGTTGCAAAATACTGAAACAGATAAACTAACATGATATAAAGCAGCAGCTGCAACTTGAAGTTGAGAAACAAGAAACCTTGAGAAATTCTAGATGAGCTTAAACATTCCAGATAGCGCAACTAATTATAATGTGTTAAAATTAGTTTTTGAGTAAGACTGAAAAATTGAGGCCCAAAAGATTTTCAGAGACCCAGACAAAGTAAGGTTTTCTGGAAGAGATACTGTAATAACCATCTATGTCAGTTATTATTTCAGGGTTTCCCCCAGTGTATCATAAGCCTTGCGGCCCGCCATGCTTTAGTAGCCCCCCCGCCAGGGTTATCGTTGCTTGTTTTTGTATATATATAAAAAATATATATATATATGCCATATTTTCTGCACTATAAGGCGCACCGGATTACAAGGCGCACCTTCAATGATTGGCCTATTTTAAAACTTTTTTCATATATAAGACGCATAGAATAGACGCTACAGTAGAGGGTGGAGTTACGTTATGCATCCACTAGATGGAGCTGCACTAAAGGGAATGTCAACAAAACAATCTGACTCCGGTCAGCGAGGAGAGCTTTCCGCGACTGGGCCGGGATGTGGCGT